AAAATAACTATAAATTTAGTTACGAATTAAATAATTATAACGAACTTTGATATCGATATACATGGTGTGTATATATGACAATTTTTTACTTTTTTTTTTTTTTTACCCTAGTAGTGTGACTTTTGACCTTTGAGAACGGAAAGTAGACCCTACCTACATGGATAAGCAGGCAAGCAACATGTAAAGCGTCCTTCAGTTGTCACACATATCCGAATCTTTTCAGCATCAACACATGGCACGACCGACTTAATTGATTGACATCTAAGTGATCACCCCGTACATGTGCTCCTTGGCCAAGTGAAGCCTTCAGGCCTAAAAATCTTTTGGTAATTACCGACGTATTGAGAGTATTCTGACTCCCTAATACCAACAGAACTTTGGGTACTAAGAATCACATTTATAAAATATTATCTGTTGTTTACAATTATCTATTTGAACTTAACACATCAACCAAAGATAATTAACATTATCAAGTTTAAATACCAACAAATTTTGGTGTTTAACGGATAAAAATACATTGGTAACTTAGATATTGCAATTTTTATTAATTTACCTATATAGGGCAAGATTAGGTGAGAACTAGTAACCTCATGAGAAGACTAATCTCATCTGTCCATCTAGGATGATCGATGTTGGAAATTAAGAAATTATTAATGGTACAATGCATTTGAAAACGTTTGATAGTGCATCTGCGGATAATTTTCAGTGCATACAACACTCATGATCTATAATAATACACTTACCTGTGCGTACTATTAGTTATATGTGGATGCATTATCAAGAGTTTTCAAATATAATGTCGTAATTACAGAAATACCACCACATCGTTCCTATTTTTTCATTAATCTCTAACCCTTGATCATCCCTAGATGGATGGATGAGACCAATGCACTTCTCATTGAGCAACTAGTTTTCATTTTCACACACACACACACACACACACACACACACACACATATATATATATATATATATATATATATATATATATATATATATATATATATATATATATAGTTATTTATTTTAAATTGTTTGAGATGATTGCGAAATTGTATATAGTAGTTGTTGATTGTTGTAATAAGCAGATTTGTTGAATGTATTAAAAGCACTTACTGATGATTTATTAAAAGTGTATTAGATTGTGGTGTTGGAAGGTGCAAAAAAAGGTGTAATGGAGAACAACCATAAAAAGGTGAAAAAGATGGGAGTGATGATTTGGGTGTGGAATTACAACAGTTACACACTAACTTTCTTTTACAATAATGAGTATCAAAGCCATGATCAAAATAATCACTTAGGGTATCTTGCTCAAATTATTACTCATCATTTTCCTATAGTTTCACTTTGGGCCCTCTAATGTCTCTACCTACTTTTCCAATGTCAATTTCCCCTAATTACTTCTCAATTAAATTCTTTTTTCCTTCTAGACTACAATATCTTTCTTCAGTTATATTTTTCATTCCCCACTTTTCTACCTGAAAAATGCTATTTTTATCTTTTTTTTTTAGTGACAGAAAAAAATTCACAATCACTACTTTCAAGGGTACATACGGGATAAATCTCGTTTTGTGACCCTAGCCGGCAAAGAATAACAAAGAGGTAAACTAGTTTAGATTACTCATAGCTGACCGACTCAATAAGTCACTCATACTTAGAGTAGAACTTAAAATATTGTAGTTATCAAGTCAACAGCACAACCAACTTAGTTGGGGTTAGTTGCCCTTATTTTCCTCTTTTTGAATTTATCCATTAGTGACATGGCAATAAAATGTTTTATATTCATTGTTTATATGTGAATTGAGTGGTCCAACCCGTATTAAAATGTAAAAAGGGAATAATAATAAGAGATTATATACTAGTTGGATTCCTTAACTATTATGATTTCTTTATAAAAGTTCTCTAATTAATTTTTTGCTCAATTTAATTTCTTAACTACGAAAACGATACCTAATAAATACTATATTTATGATCTTTATTTGACCGTTTTATATCGATCACCTTTTAACCAATGTGTAAATTTTCCTCAAACAATAATATAATTTCTTAATTAATACCTAGCTTTAATTTGGGCATTACAAGAAGAGAAAAAAGGTGAAAACGATATTTTGCCTCAATTCATGCGAGCTTTCTAGATCAATAACACAATCACCTGAGACAGCCAGGTCAGCAATTTCAATGATGGAGCCGAATTTTTTTTTAAAATAATAATACCCATTTAATTATGCCATGATAAATAAATTAAAGGACAAATGTAACTCATGATAGTGAAAACTAATACGTAGTGATAAATAAAATGTTAAGTATTTCTTATAGAAAGATTAATATTCTTATCAGGTGTCTTTCAAATAGTAAAATTAAAAACTCTACTTATGTCTATTATGTTATTATAAATCATAAATTTAAAATTTGATTCGAATAATTAGACTTGTAAGGATAAAACGTTCACCACTATATTAAAATTTATAATTATTACTAAGACTATTTGGCCTAATGGTACCCGGGTTGAACTTTCATTTGAAAGGTTTTTTGTGTTTCAGTAAGTTGAAAAAGTATATGAACAGATATTACATTGTAATAGAACCAGTTTACCTGTCGACACTATTCTACCAGCATTAGGGAGTACGTTTTAGGTCAATTGAGACATATATCATATGATTTATCTCATCCATCAATTTTCAAAAATAGTGAGAAAGTTTTTAGTTTTGAGTAAGAATTCATATGGGTTAGTTGACAGCAGCTAGACCTGAACTGCCAAAATAAATTTTTTTTAAAAATACATATATGGATCGGATCAATTCAAGAAATGCATATCTGCTGGCGTGATAGCTCTATTGAAGTTTGGAATATTAGAGGGAGAGAGAATAGAAGGAGCAAGAAGCTAAGCTAAGGTGATGGAAGAAGTAGAATTGAAATGTGGCGAGTAGAATAAGAGGCCAGCTTTTTAATCTTATCGTGTAGTTTAATCGATATGATGTATCCTTTTACCTTGTTTGTCTGCAAATGAAACAGTGGCAGTACCAGTCGTATATATATGTTGTAGAATAGTGTTGAAAATGATGGGCTCGACTCGATATTGGAAACACACTTTCGCCCCTTCCCTTCTCATTAAATTAAACTACAAACGCAAACCTACAAAATGGCAACCAATATATATATATATATATATATATATATATATATATATATATATATATATATATATATATATATATATATTGGCGCGATCTCGTACAAATGGTCGTCCATGTGCAAAATGTGAATCAATAAGCGCGCGTCACGTGTCCTACTGTCACTTACAAGTGCATATAATTTTGCCTCTACTTTCACCCCAAGTGCATGTAATCTTGCCTTGTTAACATTCATTGATCAGGTGCACCTACTTTCACCTAGGTACACCTAATTATAACTATATGTGCACCTAGATCTGGACACATGGCGCGCCCTAGATCTGGATACATGACGCGCCCTAGATCTAGACACATGACGCGCGCTGATTGGTTCGCATTTTTGCACCTGGGGCGCACCATTCGCACCAGAACGCGACTATATATATATATATATATATATATATGCTTAGGCTCTAGTGTGGTGAAGGCGGGTAAAAAATGTCGTTAATCTCAGTCTTAGATCAACTCCTCTTTAAAAAAAAAATCGTCATCTACGATCTACACCAATGTGCATCGGAAGGCATAGTAATGTGTTCAAAAAGGGATAACAATATGTACCGAAAGGCAAATGTGCATTGTAAGTCAGAAAAATATGTAACAAATATTGAAAAGATTAAATTTAATACATAATATTCAACACAATTTATAAACGATCACAATATTCAACTGAAATTAGTAATTAGCAACATTTTTTAAAGAAAGAAATTATAATATACAACATCGCACGTCTAACATTTTTGCCCAATTAAGATGCTGATTTATATCAATTGAACAATAAGAGATTTTTTTTATTATTATTTGATTTGATTTTGACAAGTCGTTCTATAACTTATTGGGCAAAAAATTTGTACATGAATACATGGTGGAGTTTTTTGTTCTGGAGAAAAAGGAAATGAGGTGTGGCCCTCCCTGAGAAGCTCCACCACTGCTCCCAACCATCATGCCTAAAACATAATCAATACAAGATGATTAACTTTCTTCTTGGCTATAATAGCCTATTGTCCTCCAAAACAAAATGCAATTTCCCCTTCGGAGCTTTGCTTTAATTTGCTGCCAGTACAGCATAGTACTCATTTGAGCAAAATATGGATGTTTTTTTACACATTTTGATGTACGTACATTTTCACTGTTTCAGAAATGCTTTTAGTGGTACTGTACTAGGCTGGAAATATGTAGACTCTTCACACCTGTAGCAAGTAGCAGTTCTACCAGTCATTAAAGACCATGCATGATCAAGATTCCAAAATAATTCAGGGAAAACAAGCTAAGGCGGTTAACCACGTTTGTCTATGGTAAATCGCATTAAAAAAATCTTGTATAACAAGTTTGACTAATTAACATGGTGTTGTCAAGAAACATACACAAGGCCGTTATTTAAATGCACATTTTAAGTGAAACTCGTTTTGTGTGTTGAGCATATAGGTCCCGTTTGGTAAAAAATTGGCCTATAGGCCAATTTTGACTTATTGATCATTATTAATTGTTTGATTTAGTTAAAATATCAATATAAATGTTTGGTTAATTAGTTTTTCAACTCCAAAAGGCTAAAATTCAAAAAACTACTCCAAACAATTTTTTCAATTAGCTTTTTGAGAAAAGAAATTATACCAAACAGCTATCACCTAACAACTAATTTACCAAACACTTTTCTATAATCAACTAATATTATCAACTGTTTTTACCCTCTAATTAACACAATCAGCTAACAGCAAACAGCTATCAGCTAACTGCCATTTTATCAAACAGGGCCATAACCTAATGTGCAATTCAATTAGCAGATAGAATTTATGTAAATGGCATGTGCGCCGAAAGAAATGTTCAAGAAGAGAAGACATTAAGGAAGAGTTTGTGTCACGGGTTTGTATCGAGAGGCTCTTATTCCCAGAGTCCCAGACAAAAAGACACATATTCTCTCTTCTCTTCTTCCTAGCTTACATCAAACACCCACCCTACCATATATATGGATCTCCCCCTCCATTGAAAAAAATATATATATACATATATACATGTATATATATATATATAACTCCGTCCTCTCCGAACTCCAGTCCACATTTCAGATCAGACAGGGTTCCATCCATAAACCTACGACTCATAGTCTCACCTTAAACCCCACAAACTGCTACAATAAGTTTCAGAAGAAGTAGCTTCAATAATGGCGTTGATGCTAGACAACTGTGAAGGCATATTACTATCGTTGGACTCCCACAAATCAGTCCCGGCTCCGTTTCTGACCAAAACGTACCAGCTCGTCGACGACCCGGCCACCGACCACATCGTATCTTGGGGAGAAGACGACACCACCTTTGTCGTGTGGCGGCCGCCGGAGTTCGCCCGTGACCTCCTCCCCAACTACTTCAAACACAACAACTTCTCCTCCTTCGTCCGCCAACTCAACACCTACGTGAGTATATCACCTCATCTTAACTGGCAAAAGATCACAAAGAAGTAAACCAGTCTAGTTTGTTCTGATCCGACATTAGATGGGTTGTCGGATTTGTATGTTCTTATTAAAAAGATTTGGTTTTTATGGTTGTTCCAGGGTTTTAGGAAGGTTGTGCCGGACAGATGGGAATTCGCGAACGAATTCTTCAAGAGAGGAGAAAAGCATTTGTTGTGTGAGATCCACCGGAGGAAGACGGCGCAGCCGCAGGTGGCGGTTGACCACCTCCACCACCACCATCCCATGAACGAACCGAGTTTCTTCTCGGCGTATAACCCGGGCAGGCTCAGCGTCTCGCCGCCGGACTCCGACGAGCAGTTGACGGCGAACAACAACGCGTGGTGCGACTCGCCGTCTTTCGCTTCCTCCACCGTGATTTCGGCGGGGAACAGCGGCGGCGGCGGCGGTTACAACAACGGGTCCGTGGCGGCGCTGTCGGAGGACAACGTGCGGCTGAGAAGAAGCAACAATATGCTGATGTCAGAGTTGGCTCACATGCGGAAGCTTTACAACGACATTATCTACTTCGTTCAAAACCACGTCAAACCCGTCACCCCCAGCAGCAACTCGTACCCGTCGCCATTAATAACCCAGAAACCACTGAGTCAACTCGTTACCTATCCCCATCCCCATCCCCCCACAAAACACCAACCCGTTTTCAATCTCAGCTCCCCGACCAAAACTTCACAGAGCAGCGTCACTCTCGTGGAAGATCCGCCGGCGGCAGATTTGTGCCGGACAAAACTGTTCGGTTTCCCACTCCAGTCAAAGAAAAGGCTCCACCCAGATCAATACTCTCCGCCGTCATCCATGGAGGCGGCGGCGGCGGCGGCGCACAAGGCTCGAGTTCTGGTCTTGGAGAAAGATGACTTAGCCTTGCATCTCATGCCCCCTTCATGTTAGTCTCACATCATTCACTTTCAAGAAATCTTAGTTTTCTTTTTTCTAGTTTTTTTTTTTTATTATAAACTCTGATCTGGGTACGATTTTTCTTGTGTGGGTGTTTGTCTGTACGTGTAAATATAAGTTTTACTTGGCCAGATATGAATTCTTGTTAATGCAGGAGGATCATGATTAGGGTGAAAACAAACTTTAATTAGTATAAACTCCTAATCATCAATCCTCAACATTAATGTTCCAAATCTTCCTTAGCTTCTCCGATCTCATCCTCATTATTAGTTTCTCCTTTTTATTAATGATTTATGATTGATTAATTATATCATAAAACAGTCAAATAGTAACTGATTAAATATTCACCAAAAGTCCAATGGCCGGACCTCCTAAATTGTCCATGTTTGACTGGTTCAAAGTTGAAACCCAAAAATTTAATAAACAATTTTTGTATATATAGAGTTTTTTTTTTTGAAATGTTATAATTATTTAATAACTATTCAATCAACTCGGTTAAAGTTGCTCTGATTAATATAATTTCTGGCTAGAGTACAAAGGGGGAGCTTTCTTGTTTTCTCTGATCAATGCATTAAATGGATCATGGGTACAAAAATGGACGCTTCTCAACTACGCAGAAGAAAATACGTACATACATGCATCTATTTGGCCTGTACACATTTTGTTTTATAAGTGGGAATGAAAAATGAATAATCATCAAATTAGGTCCAGATCGTTCTTTCAGAATTTAACTCTTATCGAAAAAATTCTAACTAAGAATTCTTTAAATTGGTGTACCCGTTACAAATTAAAAGTCGAATTTAACTTCAAACTCTTTAACATAAAGTACATTTTACAAGAGTTTATCATGGCATGCAGCTTATGGGAAAATCTGGAGTGGTAAGAAGTAACTACATGAGACATAGGAGAGTAATTATTATGGTAATAATCGCTGTTATTATTGTTATTAATAAAGTGAAAGCTCCCATGATATCTTGTTTGATTGAAGTTAAAATCTCTCATAGCACGTTTGGTTCACGGAATGAATTTTGAGGTAATAGGAATGCTATTCCATAAAGAATGTAATAGACAAGGAATAGAATATGAATTGTATTCTATTGTTTGGTTCGTGAAAGAAATAGACTTTAGGAATTATATTACAGTGTTTGGTTGATTTAAGGAATAGAAATGAAATATGTTTTAAAAGACATAAATACCCTTATAAAAATATGTGATGGTGGCGATGGTGGTGGCGATGGTGGTGGTGGTGGTGGCGGTGGTGGTGGTGATGCTGGGGTGGTAGTGGTGGTGGTGGCGGTGGCAGTGGTGGAGGCGACGGTGGTGGTGGTGACGGTGACGGTTGTGGCAGTGGTGGTGGGGGTGGGGGTGGTGGTGGTGGTGGCGGTGGTGCTACTGGGTGGTGGTTCTGGTGGCGGCGATGGTGGTAGCGGCGGCGGCGGTGATGGTGGTGGTGGCGACGACGGTGGTGAAATAGGATAAATTTATATATATGATAAAAAAAAATTAGGTTAAAGAAAAGGGTAAAATAAAAAATAGATTCTAAAATCTATTCCTGAGCGTTCAGTAATAGGCTAATACCAAGGGGACCCCTAGTAATAGCTATTACCTTATTTGAGGTAATAGACTATTATCAGAAATATTATTCCTGATAATAGAAATGATAACCAAACAAAGAAATAGGCCTATTATTGGGAATATTATGTCATTCCTGACCTATTCCGTGAACCAAACGGGCCATCAGTGTTTCTTGTTTACTGGAAACTGCACGGTCGGTCACGTAAGAGTCCTCAGTAAACAACCACCCAGATGCATGCCAACAAAATCGTGTCAAGAAAATGTACACCCCTATCTTTTACTGACACATAATTATATTGACATTTCAAATTTTAAACATTAAAAAAAAAAAAAATTTACATGTATTTTTTTTAATTATTGAGGTATGGGCACATGAGATGATGAGAGATTGGGTTGGGCTTGGGAATTAATGGGAAATTTCAAATAGTTGGTTTGATAATTATAATATTTCAAATTTAATTTTTTGTGAAATTAAATTTGTTTAGAGTAATTTTAATGGTGGTTTTTGCTCAAGTTTTTGCATATTAAAAATCAAAGGAGATGCATTTTAACAAATGGGAATGATGAATTTTGGAGTATTTTTAATCATGCAAAGACTTAATTTTTTGCAGAAGAATTATTAAAAAAAAAAAAAAAGGGGGCGAACGCGCGCTTGTAGTGCACAACGATCAAATGGCCTATTAGGTAGAAGGACTTGTGCCCACAAATCCAAAAGGAGTCTACCTCATGTAAACTCCCACATTACGACGTCAATACTCAATCTTGTGTACTTGATAATCTACCACCTAAGATTCAATTGCCGTGTGGCCTTTCATTGTGGTCCTTATGGACCGGGCTTTTTCCTAAATACAATTTGCAAATCGTTGATTGCCAAACAAGGCCTAAATAAGAATGTGATTTATGTTATATACATTCTTAATAAGGATCTTGGGTTTTCCTGGTCATCACAAAAGGAAAAAGAAAAAAAAAAGAATATGAATTATATGCCTTTAATTGAGACATGTTTGGATCCGCATCTACCTACTAATCTACTATGCCCTCTTCCTCTCACATTTAAATTGGATATTCTATCACTGATAGAGAGAAAGTGCTATTGTCTAGGACATAAACATTCAACGCAAAGCTAACTTTGCTTTAATTCTTGAAAATCCCAATCTTTATTTAATTTCCTTTAAATTTCTACACTTTGCTTCTTCTTTTGCACAGTCCAACCCATAAATCCATACTAGTGTAGCACTAAAGTTTAAACATAAAGTTTGACTAAACATTCCTATTAAACTTTTCCTTTCTTGACAATTTCAAAAGGTTATGAAGAAATGTGCCTTAACACTAGTCTTTATTTTGTAGTAGGTATGTCAACACTTTTCTTTTTCTTGTTTATAATTAAACTAGTTTTTTACGCGCATTGCGCGATTGAGATAATGCCCAATGTTTTTTTTTAAAATAAGTACTTTAAAGTATATTAAGGCAATATTATATTGAAATTGTTCATGCATAGATAATTGAAGGTTGAATTTGCGTATTTAAATAGGTAATTCTTCTCCCAAAGGTTGAGTCCCCAACCCCAAGGCCCCCCCCCCCCCCCCCCCCCACACTCTGACCCGACAGAGCATTGTGGGAAGTTATAAATCACGGTGACTCAATGTTTCAGCAGATAGGGCCAAATGCTGGTACGCACAAGGAATCTGCCCACTTTGGACACAATTCACGCATTGCCGCCGCCGAGGTTCAAACCTTGGTCTCTTCTCCCAAATACTACCCACTAAACCATTTAGCTAAGCCCGTGCAGGTTAAATAGGTAATTCTAAGTTTACAAATGCAAGATAATATAGTCAATATTGATTATAATTGTCAATAAAATAATTGTATAGGTATGGTTGAAACCAAATACGGGACATAAGGGAGAACAAATAAAAATTAGGGCATAAAATATGAAATATATACTAATATTGTTTGAGGAGATTCCGACATTAGGATTTTTGGTTAAGTTTTATTAAGACTTTAAGAGTTAATACCTAAAATCGTCCTTGACTATAGTGGTTTTTCTCAATTTCGTCCTAAACGACTTTGGTGACCTAATATCGTCCCACACTTTTGTGTTTTGCTTAATTTAGTCCTCCATTTGTTATTCCGTCAAATTGGTGTTAAATAAAGGGACAATTCAGTAATGTCAATATTGATCTCTCTTTACTTTCAACTTGTAAAGTGGAAAATTCCTCTTTCTTGTACGAATTACACCCAGAACTACTCCCGGACCTGCGAATCAAATTTTATATTCGCAGTTTTAGGAGTAATTCTGTGAGTAATTTGTAAAAAAAAAAGGGATTTCGCAGTTCACATGTCTATGAGTAAAGAGATGCCAATATTAAAATTACTGAATTGTCTATTTATTTAACACCAAATGGACAGAATAACAAATGAGGGACTAAATTAAGCAAAAACACAAAAGTCTGGGACTAAATTGAGCGAAACACAAAAGTGTGGGATGATATTAGGTCACCAAAGTCGTTTAGGACGAAATTGAGAAAAAACCACTATAGTCGAGGACGATTTTGGGTATTAACTCAAGACTTTAATATTAGAATTAGATTAATGGTGTAGTTATAATTCTATATTAGACTTTAATATTAGAATTAGGCTAATGGTGAATTAACGGAAAAGTTAAATGGATAATCATATAATTAAGGATAAATTAGAAAATCTTAAAAGAAAAAAATTAAAACCTGAACAATATGAACCATTCATTTGATTTAATAATTTGGCAGTCATTTTTTCTACCCAATGTTAATAATTAAATAAATTCGCTGGTCAAATCCGCTTGTATAATCCGCTAACGTTAACCGCTAACTGCTGATTGTCAAACAAGGACATTGCGAGGTAGTTCTCACTTCAATTTGTTGTGTGATTTGAATACTCTCTTTGTCACAAAATCTCTCAAGTAGTTAATATGGTTGGCTTTATTAATTATATATTTTTTTAATTTTTTCATGGTATTAATAAAATACTTGGTAAATAAATATATATCATTATTTTATGTTATAACTTTGATATTTAATTAGAAAAATAGTGCATAAAAATGATAATAGATAATGTAGTGAATATAATCAATTGATGAATTTGAATGTAAAAATTTTTACATTTGAGAAAAAATAAAGACAATATAACTAATGAAAATATTTCTTTTAATTAATTTATTGATAATTAATAATTTGTTTTTCATTGAATAAATACATTGTAAGGACAATGTAGCGAATATAATCAATTAATAAATTTGAATATAAAGAATTTTTATATTGAAGAAAAATAAAGACAATATAACTAATAAAATTATTTATCTTATTTAATTTATTGATAATGAATAATTTTTTTTGAATAAAGACATTGTGAACACATAATTCTAAATTAAAGAAATGCATATG